AACATGACCTTCCAGCACCAAAAGCAAAAGTTACTAAACAAAAAGTAACAAAGAAAACTTTAACTCAAGAAGAAGAAGATGAATTAGCTGAACTTATGTAAAGCTAACTTTTATAAAACAACTTCATTATTTTAGGTTAATTTTTATGGTATATACAATAAAAAAACAAAAAATTAATAAGGTATTATAAAATTGATATGAATAAAAAAAATAAATTCATTTTGGTAGAGTTATTCTTCCTTAGAACATGAAGTTTGAGAAAGAATTGAGTAATGTGTTAATAAAATAGATATGACTCCAGTAATAAAGAAGCCAGTAAATTTAAAGTGATGATAATGTATTTGGCAAAAAGTAAGATAAGAGGAAATAATCATTATCATATTGGTCAAGCTTTGATATTTGAAAGGGATTTTGATGAACAAAGTATAAAGAATGATAGAAACAATACCAAATAATATCCCATAAAAAACTTGTCTTGGAGTGTGATATCCTCTTAATAAAGTATCTCCCATTGTTAATAAACAAGTCAATAAATAAATAAGTAATCCTCCTTTCCCAAGAAGGATATGTTTTGTATTTGGAAGGTCATCAACACAAAATAGTTCTTGTACTGTCTTATAAAAGTTTTGATTATTTTTTTGTTCACAAAACTCAAAACAAAGCAAGTTGGAATGCTTAGGTTGAAAGGTAAGTTTTCTAAGTAAATGAACAAAAAGTGCAAAGAAGAATATTGCGGTAAAAAAGTGTCCACTAATACCATTAGGTTTAGCATTATTAACACTACAATTAGTGTCTCCAATATTTTCTTTAAGGATTCCAGATATAAAATATAAAGAACGATGGAACATATACCCATTGAGGAAATGGTTAAACACATTCATCATTACTACAAATTTTCCTTCTACTTTTCTGACTGAAGTAATCACAATTAATGCCACAGAAATAACCAACGTAAAGTTGTAAGGGCTAAATAATGATGAAACTCCTTTTCTTTGAGCTACAGTACGGTCACTATAGCAATCGTCGAAACCATTTTTATTATACATCACATACCCTATTAAGACTAGTTGAGGTATTAAAAAAAATAAGAATAAATGTTTTTGAATTAAGAGGAGTATTGATCCAATTATACCCATTTCTTTTTTTAGTTTATTTTTTATTTCTTTAAATTTCTAATTTTTTATATATTTTTGTGACAGTTGAATGATAATAATTATTTAAGTGCTAACACAAAAAAAATAGATTTAAAATAATACAATGGATGAAGTAATTAAACTATTGATATAAATTGGTTCTTTAATATATGTTTGAATAAACATTAACTCATTAATAGCAATTTAAAATAAATAAAATACTGTTAATAATTTTTTTTGTAAATAAACGGAAAAAACTCATTTTTGCATATTCCAAGAATCATTAATAATATTAGTATGTATAGTCAAATGAAAAAATGCAAAATAATGTAATTATCAGAATTATTTTTAGTGGTATTGGAAAATAATAAAAATATTTGTAACAAATTAACAGTAAAATGAATATAATAAAATCGTATAATATTTGATAAAAACGTTAATCAAATAAAAACACTGATAAATTCATCAATGCGTAAAAAGTAAAATAATAAATAAAAAGATGCACAAAAATTAAAATAAAATAACGACTTCTATTATTTTATTGAATAACGTTTAATAAACATTCCAACATTAATTAACATTTTCATAGAAAAGAAGCAAATGAAATAATGATAGAAAGGTATAGTGAGGAAGAGAATGTAGGATCTGCAATGTTATATGAATAGATTTTCAATGTGTATATAACATAATATCCAGAATAAAATAACAGGAGATAAGTTTGATGAAATAAAAAAAAAACAAAGAAAAACAATAAATAATAGAAATGAAAATAATACAAAAAGACATGCAAAATGAAATAAAATGAATAAGATTTGAAGAAATTTAAAATAAAAGAATAGAAAGAATAAAGTAGATAAAATATATGATGAAAATGAATAAAGAAATTGAATAAAAAATGAAAGAGTCCGAGGCAGTAGAAATAAAATTATGTTTGATTCTAATAAGAAAAATAGAATAAGGAAGAAACAAATAATGAAATATACCCAAATAACGATATTACTTTAGAAAATTGGAAATATTATATGAAACACAGATGAGATTAAATAAAGTTAAAATGGAAAATAAAACAAATTACGTTTTTGAATGAAAAATACAGAAATTATGACAATGTCATTATAACAATAAATGAATTAAATATAAGTCTAATGAAAATAAATAATTAGAAATATTCAATAACATATAAAAGTAATAAAAGAAAAGACAAAGATAAATATAAATAATTGATAAGAAGAATAAAACTAGTGTAATAAATGATATGAGTAAAGATGTATATCACAATAACAACGGAGATAAAAGAAGAAAAGAAATGGTTATAAAGAAAAAAGGTCAATTATTAGATATATACACTATTGGATTTTCTTCATATGGAGAAGTTATTATATCAGTTTCTTCAATATGTTCGATTGGTATCATAGAGAAAAGAAATTTTTATAAAGAATAAAATAAAGAAAATAGAGAGATTAAAATAAATGTAAAAATAATTTGAATAATAATTTGAAACGAATGAATAATAAATACCTTAAGTAATAGACTAATTAAAGAAATAAAAATGAAATTGATAATATTAAAGAAGTTAAAAATAATGTCATTAGAAATATGAGAAATGTTATTAAACATTGTTTTTTTTTACTACAACCAAGTATACTCATTAGAGTTGATGGAAGAAGGCATATAACTTTGGTTAGGCCCATATGAGTCAGAAATAATAAAAACAAATTCTATTAACACTTAATTAATTTGTATTGTTGGTTTAATGAAAAACAAATGTATTTGATTAGCATTAATTATTTAATTACTTCAAATACAAGCTCTATATTTTATTGTGTTATCTTTATGAATATTTTTCCAATGTACTATAGTTAACATAACATGAGAAAATCGATAATAAATTTGATTATGAAAAAAAAAACACTTAACAATTTTGTTGATATGTGTAAAATTGTATAATAACGCTTTAAACAATTCAACTCAATAATATATGTATATTAAATTATTATGTCAGCTATCATTAATTAGTATATATATGATGTTATACATGAATTTTAAATGAATAGAATCAATATTCAAAAAAATTGTTAATGGAATTGAACATACACCAAATTTAACTTATTTCTCTTATTCAAATGATAGTAAGTCTTACATGTTTCTGTCTCACAGTTGATTGTTGTTTTAAATAAGTTATAGACCATTTTTTGAAATTAAATATGGTTCAATACTTAATTATACTAGTGATGTTATTAAATGATATTAATGTTCATTAAGAATAATAATTTTATTTTCCCCAGAACCAAAGTATGAGTTGATGTATCTAATGGTCATGTATTAAATAACAATATCATAAAATACATTTAACAATTTTAATGTTATTTATTTGGTTGTAATTCAGAATCGCACCATAAATATTAACATAGTCATAAGACTTGAATTATCAGTTATTATCTGGCTATGGTGTTAGTGTTTGATAGAAAATTTCTTATTCAATACTTCAAGAATATTATTGGACATTTATTATAATAGAAGAACGTGTATTTGTAAAGATAATAGTATTTTTACTTGTTCTGATGCAAGTATATGTGTTAATATAGATACTATCAAATAAAATATATGGATATACATTTTGATGATGAATGAAATTAGACATAATAAACATAGTATTAATGGTATATTCATCATAAAATAAGAAAGTAAAGAATGAGAAGTTTTAATATACATGAAATTCAAATAAAGAAGAAACAGTTACTTAAATGAAGAATATTTAAGTTAGGTGTTTGAAAAGATTTTGACTTAATGTAAATAAAAGAATGAAAAATAGAAATTTACATGTCTTAACAACAAAGAGATAAAGAAGAAGTGAATAGTGGATGAGTAAAAAGTCTTAAACTCAATGAAGGGGTTATTCTCCACCAAGCAAGGAATAATAGAAAATAAATTTAATAACACTTAATTAACTACTTTTTATTTTAATTAATTTTAATTAGATTAAAACAAATATTTGACAGTACTACAACCAAAAATTATCTGTTGATAAAAATTAAATAACATTCCAAATATGATAGACATTAATTAATATTCCATTGATGAGATGACATATTGTTATTTAAACATACATTATTCTTATAAATAGAAAGGAATGGAAAAAAATACAAAATTAAAACAAAGGAAATCAGAAAATCAAGCAGAAATTGGTAACACAATAAGTGGTTAATGAAGGGATAAAAACTAATGAAAAAATGAAATGAAGAATGAAACTAATGAAATCCAAGAAGACAAAACAATGAAAATAAAGAAAAGATAATAATTTATAATAATCATAAAGAATATTTTATTGAAGTACAACTTGTAAGAAATAACTCTAAGGAAATATTTTATAAAATTAATTTTAACTATAAAACTAGTAAATTGAATAATTTATTAATAATATTTAAACTAATGCAACTCACTTATTCTTTTTTCTTACCAATTAATAAAATTTTTTTTAATTTATAATATTAAACTATAATAATATTATGAAATATTACCAATTTTAACCATATTTCATTTTGGGATTTTTCTTCATTTTTTGATTGTTTCTAACTTTGAAATATTCAAGTCAACTCAATTCAACTGAAATTCTCTCATTCGTTTTAACTCAAGCATAATAATTAGAACAATAAAATATCTTCAAGTAATTGAAAACTTTTCTCATCAATACTTTTTGTGAGTAATACTAGGAAATCTGTGTGAGACAAAGGAACAAACGTTAATAGATGAAAAGAATAAAGTGTATTAATTTCAACTCAAATAAAAGGGGTTGAGTGGAGCATAAAGACTAGTTTTTGATGACATATAATATATTTAAACGAAGTTCTGAAAAAGATAAATTATTCAATGTTCGCATTTTTATTATTTATTGCATTCACTACTGCAACCAACGTTATTCCTGATATCGAACAAGAATTAAAAGACGTTGGCCTTTACGATTTGTTTTCAAAGAAAGAGTCTATTCATGAAAATGACATAGAAAATGAAGAAGATAAAAAAAGTAGTTCAAACAGTGAATTAGATGAAAATTCTAATAACCAACCAGATGAAAGCTCAAATAATAAACCAGATGAAAGCTCAAATAATAAACCAAATGAAAGTTCTGATAATAAACCAAATGAAAGTTCTGATAATAAACCAAATGAAAGTTCTGATAATAAACCAAGTGAAAGTTCAAACAATAAACCAAATGAAAGCTCAAATAATAAACCAGATGAAAGCTCAAATAATAAACCAGATGAAAGCTCAAACAATAAACCAAATGAAAGTTCTGATAATAAACCAAATGAAAGCTCAAATAATAAACCAGGAAGTAGTTCAGATAATTATGATAATCTTGATGCTGCATCAAGTCCATTCATTGTTCTCTTTGCTATTATTGTGGTTATCTTATTCTAAATTAATTAATTTGAATTTAGTCTCTTTTTTATTAATACTATTTATAAATATTTTAAGACTATTATAGAAATAAGGCTGTTTGTTAGAACAAATATTTTTATCATTACTTATATTTGTTGTTCGTTATAAAAATAATATTTAATCAAACAAAATCATAATATAATACATATATAAAGTCTATTCATAGTATATTTAATATATCACAATTCAGACTAATTTATATTACATATAATCTATTTTATTTTTATGAAGTTTAATAATTAAACTTCTTGTACATAATATAAAACTATGAAAATAAAAATTACTATATTTAATAAGCAAATTTTATTTCTATATATTCTTTTTGTCATTATAAATAAACTTTTTATAAACAAAGCTTATTGTTCTAAAAGTTTTGTTTTACTAAGCAAAGAAAAAACAAACAATAAAGAAAAGAAGTTTACTTTAAATAGTTGTTTTTTAATTAGAAAAAAAAGATAGTAATAAATCCTTTCATTTAATAATGAGTTGTTATTAGTAAATAATAAAACAAATACACGTACTCAAAAAAATATAAAGTTCTTTGAAAAACAAGAGATACTGTAAATGAAATATTACTATTTATTCTCTTTAATAGTTATTTCTAGTTCATTTTTTGTAACATTTCTTAGCTGATTTCTATTATTTATTCAACAACAGAAGAAGCTTATTTATGGGTTAATATTTAAAAAATTAATATATTCACACTTTTCAATATCCATCTCAATAATAACAATTATATTATTTAAGTATTACTAATTTTCAAAATATTCAATTTTTATCAAATAAGCAAATTTATTTTTAATGATATTATCACTCAATTCATTTCATTAATATTTTCATTGGCAATGAAAATATATATCATAAAAATAGAAAAATTATGCAAAATCAAAAATAACGAAAGAAAGAGAAATTCATACCAATAAACAATTATAAATAACAGAAGAATGTCTGAAATATCAATTATTTGTATAATATTAACATTTTTTATAATGAAAATAACACTATATAATCATCATAAAATGATATAAATTTATTTTATGTTGTTATAATGATTGATTGAACGTTTCTTAATGTATTTTTAACATTTGACTTGAAAATAGTTTAAATACTATAATATTATAATTTTTTAATATAATGGATTTTTTTAAAAATAGAAATTTAAAAATAGATAACACTTCCTTCATTTTATCTTGATTAAACATGTCTCTACTATTTGAATAATAAATTGTTCTACAAATAGAACATCGCCATTTAAATAAAATATTTCATATTATCTCAGTTGTACAACGTTTAGAATTAATGATAATTATACAAAGTTGTGTTAAATTAAAAGTTATTTTATTAAAGTCAATTTTTATAAAATTAAATACAATTATATTAAAGATTATTGATTCAACACGAAGATTTTATCAACAAAGTTATCCAACAAGAAATAGAGTTAAAAACCGCATTAGAAACCATAGTTATAATAATCACTATCAAAGGAAGAATGGTCATAAAATGTTTAATAACTACTACTATAAGAAGCACTATCACCCTAATAACACTTTCAACAGAATATCAAAATACTCAGATTATTACAGAAAATATTATAACCGAAATTATTACAATCCTAGAAGAAAGGTTAACAAGTATTATCATCGAAATGAACGATTTGGAAGATGTAGATATAAGAATAAATGATATTATAATAAAAGACAAGGATGGAAGAATAAAAGGCAAGAAGAAAACACAAAAACAATACAAAAATGGATGAAAAGATTTGAAGAAATAGAGAAACTAGTTAAAGAGAAATTAGAGATAACGACAGAGGTAAAAGAAGAAGAAATACCAATGGAAATAGAAGAAAAAGACAAGATAATACAAGAAAAATCGACTCAAGAGAATGAAGAAAGACAAGAAGAAGAGAAACAAACAATAATAGAAAAGTATGAAGAAGAAAGAAGAAAAATTACTAAAGAATTTGAAGAAGAGATAATGAAAATGAAGACAACATTTGAGAAAGAAAAAAAAGAATTAGAAATGACGATAAAAAGCAAAGAAGAAGAAATTCAAAAACAAAGAAAACAAGAAGAAGATAGAAAGAGAGAACAAGAAATAGAAAGACTAAAAAGCACACATGCTATAGAAATAAATAACAAAGAAGAAAGAATCGGAACACTTAAAGGAAAACTAGAGAAACAAGAAAAAGAGAAAGAGAAAGAAATCCAAGACATTAAAGAAAAGAAAGAGATTAAAGAAAACAACAAAAAGAGAGAAGAAGAAATAAAGAAAACAAAATAAAAGATAGACAAGATTAAAGAAGAGATGGAAAAGATTAGAAAGATGAAAGACAAAGAAATAGAAGAAAAAGACAAGATAATAGAAGAAGAAAGGAAAGAAAACATAGAAAAAGAAGAAATGAAGGAAAAGGTAGAAGAGAAGAAATGAAGAAAAAGGTAGAAGAGAAGGAAGGAATAGAGAACAAATACCTACAAAGACAAATTGATAAAAGTATGATAGAAAGTAAACTAATGAAAGAAAGAATGAAAACACAAATACTAATAAATGGAATAGAAAAAAGATGAATAAACGTAGAAGAATTACTTAAAGAACAAGATGAAGAAAATGAAGAAAATGAAGAAAGAAATTTTCAAAGACAGAAGAAGAAAAGAACAAGGATGAAAGAGACAGAACAAGGGACAATTATACGACGAGCATCATCAGTGACAGAAACAATGAATATAATAGGGAAAGAACAGAAGAAGACGATTATAATAGAAGAAGAACAAGAGAAGAAAGAAGAGGAAGAAGTTCAGCAAGGAGAAGAGAAGAAACAGAATTAAAGAAGAAAGAATATGTCTGTTATGGAATTAACATAATGAATATTAAAATAAAAAAGAAATTAAGAAAAGAAGAAATAAAAAGAATATTAGAAGAATATCATATTGATATTACAATCGAAGAATATATAAAAATAGTTAAAAGAAGTAAAGGGATTAAAAAAAGAAAACATAGAATACGTTAATAAGAAAGTAGGAGAAGTGATTAAAGAAGAAGATAATATAGAAAATGAAAAGATTAGAGAGATTAATAGAAAGAAAAAGAAGGAAGAGATTGATGTAGAATACATAGAAGAGTTAATAAAGAAAAGTAAAAGAAAAGAAATCAAAGAGTGTAGATACATTGGATATTATTTCAATAAAGAAATATATGAAGAGATAATAAGATATATTGATGAAAAATGGGAATGGAAAGAAGGAGGTATTAAAGAGATACAAGAAGACATTTACCGAATAACATACATAATAAAGAAGTATTTAGAAAACAAATTCATAGGATTTAAGAAATAATATGAAGTAGTAATACAAAGCAAGATAAATAAACTAAAAGACATGGTAATAAGAGGAAACTATAAAAAGTTAAGAAGGATATTAAGAATAAGAAAAATGATAGAAGAAAAGATAAGAGGAGAAGTAAATGAAGAAATAAAACAATTAGAATACTTAAAAGAAATGAGGAAAAAAGAAGTAGACTTAAACAAAGTGAAAGAACAAGAATCTACAGAAACAAAATCATGAGCACTACTGGAAAAAAAGAAATAAGAAAGGAAATAGGAAGAGAAGAAGAAAGACGATGTGAAGAAGATACAAAAGAGTTTTTGAATAAGATATATAACAGAAGAAAAAGAATAAGCAAAGAGAATGAAAGAATAAAAGAGATAAATGAAGAGAGTAATAGAAGGAATTTGAAAAGAATAATAATCACAAAAGAAGAAATAGAGAATGTGATAACAAGAATACCATCATGGAAAGCACCAGTGATTGACAATATTCAGGGATACTACTTGAAAATATTAGAGAGTGTTAGAGACAGATTAGTTGTAGTGTTTAATGAATGGTTAGACACTCCAAAAAACATCCCAATAGAAATGCTAACAGGAAGAACTATTCTAATACACAAAGGAGGAGATAGCAAAAAAGCAGAGAATTATAGACCAATAACATGTCTTAATGTAATAATGAAAATCTTTACTTCAAACATAAAGAGAAAGATAGAAGAACAACTAGCAAATAATGAAGAGAAATACCAAATTAATAAGATTCAATAAGTAAATAAGAAAGGAAGTCTAGCAGCAAAAGAAGTAAATATCAACAGTTTATTAGAAAGAAATGAAAGAGAAGTACAGAAGAAAAGATATTTAGAATCATTCTATGACATTAGAAAAGTATATGATACAGTTAATCATAAATGGTTAGAAATTGTATTAAGATACTTCAAAATACCATTTCAAATAACTGAATTAATAAAGAGTATGAGTAGTAGATGGAGAATAAGAATAGGATATAGATATAAAGAAGAAATAAGAGAAGTTAAAATAAAGAATGGTATATTACAAGGAGATTCCCTTTCTCCACTCCTATTCATATTACAAATGAATATCATTTCTGATGTTATTGATAAAACAAATGAGAAATGACTAAAAATGACACACGTACTATACATGGATGATATTAAAGTAACAAGTGAAACAAAGAAAGGAATGGAAATAGTGCATAAAAATATAATAGAAACAATAGAAGCAATAGAAATGGAAGTTAATGTAAGTAAAAGTGGAGTAATGAAGAAAAGAAATATAGAAATACCAGATAATATGAAAGACATTCCAATAGTAGACTCAGAACATCAATATAAGTATTTAGGTGTTTATCAATTTACAAGAAATGATGATGTTGGATGCATAGAAAGAATAAGTAAAAGTATAGAAGAAGGAATAAAAGAAAACAATAAAGGGAATGACAGTAGTATGAATTATATTAACAGAATTAATACAGAAATAATTCCTAAGTTCACATATAGTGCATCTGTAGTTAAATAACCAATTATGAAGCTGATAGAAATAGATAAAATGATAAGGAGAGAAATGAAAGAAGG